GGGGGGCGGGGAGCTACAGACATCCCCTTGCAGAGCTACTCATATGGTTACTTCCTAATTTGTCTCAATCAAAACAGCCTAAGTTAGCTTAAACTAACTGTAGACCTCTTAATGAGTATCACCAGTCAGCACTGACTGAAAGGACATTGATCTCAGTGACTAAAAGAAAGCAATTATATGAAAAACTCAGCAAACAACTTTCAGTCAGCAAATCTGTTGGGGCGGCCCCGGAAAAGAGGTAGTAATAAGCCCCCCCTCAGCAGGCAAACCTGGAGATACAGGAGGATATATTTGCATGGCCTTAGTCTCAGAACGATGGAAGATAACTCATTTTGTACAAAAGCAGCATGGAGAAGAAAAATGACCAGCCCAAGGTCAGGTACAAAGATTGTGGAAACTGTGGGAGTAAGTGCCAGGACAGAGATTTTTCTGGAGTATTTGTGTAGTTCAGTTTTCATCATGCCTGACTTAAGCTGTATAAAGACCCAGCTTTCAGAAATTGCTTAGCACGTACCCTCTGGGGGAAAAAAGAAAAAAAAAAAAAAAAAAAAAAAAACCAAACAACAAGATTCTGAGCAACAGGGATGTATCTTTAAAACACTAAGGAAATCACTTTCCTCACCTACCAATACCTTCTGAAACAGATGGAACTGAAGCATATTTGAAGAGCCAACAACTTTGTACTGCCTTGAGACTTTGGAAAACATTTTCCAGAGAAAAAGAATCCTTCCACAGACAATCTCTCCCAGCAGACCAAATTTCAGTTCTGCTGATCCCAGTGGTGACAGTACGACATGGAGGGAAACAATACCTCAAGTAGATGGATGCTGTGCTAGAGACTCACAGCAGAGTCTTCAAGTAACTTGCGCTGTTCTGAGGCTCTCGCTGCTTAGAATAAATTCATTCTGGCACAAAGCTTTCAGTCTCCATAGTCAAAAAAGGCTTTGGCTGTAAAGCGATATTCTTACATGAATCAGGCTGTTTTCTCCATTGATAAGAACAACGAATGACCCTATGAGCTCAGTATGAATGTCTTTCGGGTGCTGCTCTGATATTTCCTGTGGTGATAAATAGCACAATATTCTCAATAGTTGCAAATTACAAAAGAGCCAGAATCTACCTATGTGTATTATGTAGTCACTGAATCACATTTTCATGGCATGTGGGAGGTGACCAGGAGACAATAGCAGACAGACAGCTAAAGGAATTGTATTCCGCTCATTCTGCACAGGGGGGGAAAACAACCCATGAAAATAATTTAATAGGAAAGGAAACCTGTTAACAAAGGTTATCTCATAGCAGGAAGCAAAAATTTACTGAAGCAACAATTCTATATGAACTTTTATTTCCAGTGAATCATGCCATTATGTTCAATCTCATTCTAAACGTGAAACCTGCCCCTGTGGCTTGTTCTCTGCTGTGGGATCACTGTCAAAACAAAGAACAATTACAAAATGTTCCCTCAATTCAGAATTCCTATTTGGTAAGTGACGCACATATGATGCAGAGATCTAAATATGAAAATCGTAAAATGGAAACCGGTTTTCTCCCCTTTTCTGGTATTTAGACGACACAGGAAAGTCGGAAGAGTAGTTGACAGGAGTTTCTAATTATTCACATTTTAGGTTTTAAGAAGGCTGTGTTTACCAGGTACTTGAACCCAAACTGGTAAATGTAAAATAATAAACCACAATATTCTAGGATAGTATCTGAAATATTTGTTGTAAAGTATTTATTTAGATATGGCATCGCTAGATTTGAATGCTGAATTAGTCTATTAAGCAGATTGGTATTTCTTTCAGTCTTACATTTTCTTGATGATTCTATTTCTATTTGTCTGAAATATTGCTTTAATTCTTAGAAAGTATTTTTACTTCACAAACAGGTGATAATAATTCTATTTGTATATTTTTTGCAAGAGTAGCATGCCCATTTTTACCCAAATTTGGGATTATGGGTTTCAGCAAAATGCATGCTTTCCACATTTTCCTTTGTGATATGAAGTACTGAAGAAGGGAAATATTGACATTTTCTCTCTTTGAAGATACATGAAATTTCCTATTATTGGAAAGGTCTGTTGCCCTGAATGACAAATTACACAATGAGACAGAAGGAAGATGAAAATCTTGGAGTTTTAAAAGCATCTGATATTTTCTCAAAATATATTCAGCTGTATTTATCTAGCATTCTGGCATGTTGCTGGATTACTGTTATCAGTAAATCTATAAATAGCATGCAAAATGCATGTGAGCTGTCTGTGCATGAATAAAGAGTGGCCCAGCAATAAATTATAATATAATATATAGTTTAAAATGTAGCAAAAGGAATGCCTTGACAAATCAATGCAACATATTTTGTCACTGAGGGTGAAAGATTCATTACGATCACCCTTGAGAAAGCTGGATTTCTGAAGCATGGGTCATCTAGGACATATGATGTAATGAGAGAATATGGAAACATGCATAGAAAGACAAAAATAATCTTCTGAATAATAAAGCCGTATTAAATTTTCAAGTGAAATATAAGTCCTGTGCAGTACTTCATTGTTCAAGAGAGGTCAGGAGTGCAACGCCAAAGAGCAAAATAATGAAGCCTGACATCCTATGGATTTGGTACCCACAGGAGATTCAAGACCGACCCTTCTTCTGAAAATGGCTCATGTGCACCGGCTTTCATTTGTGTTTTCTGGTGTCTGCTAAGGTCTAAGCTCACCTTGTAGCACTTTGTTCAGCTGAGAAATTCTTTTGGGTACCCAGCCACCTATTTTGATGAAATTTGGGGAAATTCAGTGTTTCAGGGAACTCGAGGCATCTGCCAGACTTGATGGAAACTGGCACTAGATTTCAGAGTTGGTGGGAGCAGAGGACGCAGACACAGACACAGGGCCAGACGCACAAACCCAGCAGGTTGCATAAGCCTAGAGCACACCAGAGACTAAAAATAAGACCAACCAATTGGTTTTCCTGCTGACAGCAGCAAGCTGCCACGGGACATTTAATTCCCTCTGATCACGTAAATGACAGACGAGTTGTCACCTGCTGTGTGCGCCGGGCCAGGCAGAGTGGTGAGGATCCCATCCCTGTGGCGGGGGCCACTGGTCCCAGCAGCTCCATCACCTCGTCCCGCACACCGCTGTGGATGGAAACGCCCCAAGAGAAGTTAGCACTGGACAGAGGCCGTGGATGTGGACGTCATCTCTGGCATGCTCAGGAGGAGACACCTGAGCTTGGCAGGGTTGGAAGGAGCTTAAAATGGGGGACTGGGCAGGTGGAGGAGAGGCCAGGGGCGTTGACGTCCCTCGGCTCCTGCGGCCTCGCGAGGTGTCAGGAAGAGCCTCGTGCCCAGTGGGCGTTAGGGCCTTGCGACTGCAGCTATGAGGGATGAATTGTCCCAGTCCCTTCTGTAAGAAGAGGGACAAGCCTTACATTTTCTTAAATATAAAAAAAAGAGGGGATCTTTACGGATTTAGCGGCTGTGGTACGGGTTTCAAGCGAGCTCCAGCCCGCCGCGGACCGTCTCCTCAGAGCTGGGGACGCGCCGGCGCCCAGCAGGGGGCGCTGCTGCCCGAAGTGGCGGGGGGGGGGGGGGGGGGGGGGGGGGGGGCGTCCCC